AAACAGTGAACTCAAATGTAATGATTGGTCATAAATAAAAATAATCCTAAGCGAAGCTGCCACATTTATGACTTACCTGAAAACGTCCTCGATAAAATTACCAAAACTATAAAAAAAGACCAGCAGCAGGTGTAAAAATGATGCCGTAAAAATAAGCATAAGTCCTTCTTTTACCTTGGTTCGTTATTGTCACCAGTTTCAGGTTGCTCTCTATTTTCATTAGCTTAAGGTTCTTCCCTGTTATTGCCATTACTCTCATCGCCAGCTTGAGATTTTACGCTATCTATCTATCTTACCATCACTATTGACTTTGTCTTGTAATTGTTCTCCATGGTTTCCATCATTTTAACGATTTCTACCCAAGCGGGTTGGCTTTGATGATTGTCGTAACCCTATTATGGCCTTACGTGTAGTAGCATTCCTCAGGACTTCACATGTTTGCATGTTTTTTCTTATAATACAAGCATTTAAAGGCCACAATTTTGGTCTTTAATTCAGAATATAGCTACATTTAGTTCCACAAAAATGCTATATTGTAGCCGACAGAACTATTGATTGCTAAATGCTGATTAACTCTGACGTGTATATATGCGTATATACACGCTCGCAACATTACAATATTGGTTCCGTGGTTGTTAATACAGTCAATAAAAAGGCGTAATTTTCAGTTTTTACAGTTCTATTGTGCTCTGAAAAGTCTTCATAAATGCTGAAATTACCGATGTGAACCCTATGTGACATTCAGTAATGCAGTTTGATGTTATTTGGGTAATAATATAACCTGGCAGCAGGCATGAACTTGAGCTATCCACGGATTTATAAATTACATAAAATAGGATCATGATACTATCTAAATTGGACTGCGCACTAATGTGACAAAAATTGTACAAAATGAGAGGTTCCTTTGTAATAGTGCGTGAAGCAGACTCAGAGCAAGTGTACTATATTAATTTATAAACTGTAAGTATTTAACTATGTGAAGACCTGATTTTTCTTTATTAAAAGTTCTATTATGAGAATTGAAAGAATAAAAGAGGGACGCAACCTGAGAGCATACATAAGCAAGCTATAGAGTGTGCGTCAGCAATTATGAACAGTAAGAACGGGTATGAACAGATTCGGCTTTGCAATTGTAAGGGTGTCGCTATTAGTTACGAAAGAATAGGCGTGCTGATTGTTTCTCTCGCCGGTATTTACTATAATTCAAAGTTGCCATGGTGAAATGTGCAGTAACAAGCTGTAAAAATAATTAAAGAAAGAAAACTGAATAATGATATTTCTTTTCAACGTACATATACAAAAACACTTACTCCTGTCACCCAGAAGGGTAGGCAGAGACTACAGACTTCCATTTGGCACGATCATAACACACCTTCCTCGCCTCCTTTACATCCATACATCGCGGCATACATGCTCCTCGGTTAAGGATACTCCTAATCTGTCCCATTATCAATATATCGCCAATTTGGTCGATAAACCTTTATCTAGGGCGTCACTTCCCGACTTTGCCGTTCACATCTGCAATAGAGATTTGCTTTGTCCATTTTCCCCCGTGTAGTGGCGGGTAAGAATACCCACTACCCTATATCTTCCTGTGGGTGTCGTAAAAGGCGACAAAGGGAAATTGAGGCAGAAGATGGGCAGCAGCATCTTTCTGAAAACAGCAAAAAGCAATAAAAAACTGCTCCAACTAAACCAACTCACTCACCATGCGTGGCAACTATGGCCGTGACAACTATGGCAATATATTCCCCCCCCCCCATGAGCAATGACACTAATAAACGGCCCCCAGTCCCCAGTGGCCCCGCTATTCCTGGCTACGGTGGTGACCATGGTAATGTTGGGGCAGGGGGTGCTAAGAATCTCCGATGGAAGTTCGGTTGCAACCTACAATGACTCGACCGGGCAACTTATAACGCACGCACTCTGAGGACTGACGAGAAGATCCTGGAGCTTGAAGAAGAGATAGACAAGTTGCGCTGGAATATTATAGGATTATCTGATGTCCAAAGAGAGGGGGAGGACACGGTAATGCTCGAATCCGGCAACTTGTTCTATCACCGGGAGGGCGACCATCTGTCCCAAGGAGGTGTCGGATTTATCGTCCACAAGTCTCTCGTTAACAATGTTTTAAAGATTGGGAGTGTGTCGACGAGGGTTGCGTACCTTAAACTCAGAATCACCAAACGGTTTTCGCTGAAGGTCATACAGGTTTACGCACCAACCTCGGCACATCCCGATGAGGAGGTGGAGAAAATGTATGAGAATATCTCTAGAGCCATGCATTCCTCCAAAACCCACTATACGGTGTTAATGGGAGACTTCAACACAAAACTAGGCACAAGAGAGAACGGTGAGCTGAAAGTAGGGAAATTCGGAATAGGGCAACGGAACCCAAGGAGCCATCAGCTAGCTTACTTCATGGAGAAAGAGGGACTTTTTATGATGAACTCTTTCTTTCAGAAGCGGCCCCACAGAAAGTGGACCTGGTCGAGCCCCGACGGTTCAACAATAAATGATATTGATTTCATTATGACGACCAGACGACAACTGTTCAGTGATGTCTCAGTGATCGCGAGGATGAAAAGTGGAAGCGATCACCGAATGGTTAGAGGCACACTAAACCTAAACATTAAGTTGGAGAGGTGTAGTCTACTGAAGTCAACGCTCCGTCCTCCTCGTGCTCTAGTCCAAAGTCCCGAAACCTTTCAGCTCAAGTTACAAAATCGTTTTCAGTGCCTAGAAGATTGCAATGCAGTGGACGATATAAATGACAAGCTCGTGGAATGTCCATGCGGTCGGAGCTAAGTTTTGCAAGACCCGCCACAGAAGAACACAAAAACTTTCTGATCACACTCTTAATCTCATGGCCGTTAGATGGGAAATGAAGCTGCAGTCTTCATTAGATTTGATAGCATGCAGGCAACTGAACATACAGATCTCCAAATGCATGCGGCGGGACTTACACAACTTTAACACTGCTCGTATTGAAGAAGTGATCGCGCGGAACCAGGGCTCTAAAGACTTTGCCAGAGATCTGTCTGCCAGAAAGTGCCAACTGTCGAAGCTGAAGACCGAATGTGGCAGCATCGTTTCCGAGACACCTGAGATTTCGAGTGAGATTGAGAGGTTCTATGGGCAGCTGTACACGTCATCGTTGGAGTCACACGGAAGTGTGAGTAACGATCCAAGAGCGAGTCTTATCCGACACTATTTCCATGATATCCCGGACGTCAGTCTGAGCGAGATTAGAATGGCTCTCCAGCACCTTAAAAACAGAGAGTCCCCGGGCGAGTATGAAATTACAGCGGAGCTTCTGAAAGCGAGTGGAAAACCTGTACTTGAAGTCCTTCAGAAGCTCTTTAATTCCGTCCTTCATGGAGGTACTACGCCGGAACCGGGAAGTAGAAGTGCGGTGGTCTTGTTCTTCAAGAAAGGCGACAATGCTCTCTTGAAGTACTACAGACCGCTTTCCCTTCTGAGCCGCGTCTATGTGCTGTTTTCGAAAGTCATTACAAATCGTCTCGCATGCAGACTCGACGACTTTCAGCCTCCCGAACAAGCCGGTTTCCGAAAAGGCTTTAGCACCATAGACCACATACATACCCTTCGGCAAATTGTACAGAAGACCGAAGAGTACAATCTATTATTTCTAGAAGTAATTCCACTAAGATATTAACAATGATAAAGTTCCTGATAATCTTCAAAGCTTTCTTAGCTGATGAAAAATTCCTCCGACCATTATTTATGGTGTTCAAGATAAATAAAAATGAAAACACAGTGATATTAATCAATAGTGCAAACGTAGATAAACTCTTTGTGAATCAATGTGAAAGTGAATTTTTGATGAATGTATCGTTCGTGACATATCTAATTTTTAAAGATAACTTCAGGCTCAGAAGGTCTAGAACCAAGAGCCGTAAAGCCAGTTATAAAAAAAAACAGTTATCTGTGTTATAATATAGATTTGAAATTCACACAACTCGAGTTTCGACTCGAGTTCCTGTATAGGACAATTACTATACTCTTTGGACTCGAGTTACGAAACTCGAGTTAGTAGTACGAAACAGAGTAAATGATTTGTTACAAATTACTTTGTAAAATTTGTTTTTCTATCAAGCTCTATGGTGGGTTGGGATAACTATAATTTCCAAACTTATTATGTAGGATTGAAATAAAAAGGTGTATTTAGTATGTATTTTGTGTACCTGTGTTTGTATACTTATGTATTTTGGGTTTTAATATTAGTTAAAGTAAATCTCTGTATTTAACAATAAAACTAGCTGTATAGCAGTCTTCACGAAACTATATTAGTCTAGCTTAAAGATGTAGGTATTAAACTATTAATAGCTTAACTATTAATAGTTTAATTATCACAGTCAAAATATTCCTAAATAAATTCAAACTTATTCAAATTCAAAACATTTATTTTAATTGTAAGTTAAGTGTTACATTTGGCGTTAATTTAAAACATGATGTATCTTATAACTTAACCACCCTTTCGGGTATTACAATAATAGTTCTGTGACTTACGTAACAATAATGATCATGATTAATGAAAATTAAAAAAGAAATTAAATTACATAACCTAGCTATAATAAATCTCTAAATAACAAATTGTTTTGGTAGTAACTTAATACTCTTTGAAACACAAAGCGCACACACAATGAACGCATCGCGCTCTTACTCTTATGCTGACTCTCTACGTTCATGTACAGCAGCCCAAACTCGAGTTAGGGAGATCCAACTCGAGTTAACTCGCGTTAAGCGCAACTCGAGTTCACTCGAGTTAGTAACTCGAGTTGAGCCATCACTATGTTAGAATGTTATTTATTAATCAGTGATGTCATGTTAATTTAATGTTTATCTTCTTTAGATGTTAGCTGTAAATACCTGTTCAATAAAAATTGCTTTATTATGTTTATTTAGTCATTATGTGAATACTGAATAGTTTCTGGAAATTGTACGCATCATATAATTTAATATAGAATATCTTTAAAATGGATGATAGAAGTACAAAGAAGATTACTTTCAATAAATCAATCGTAAGTAGTGTAACTTTTATTATTATTAATATTATTAAAAAGAACTGAATGATAAAGTTGACTTAAATGTTTATTATATATGTATATTTGTTAGTTATTAAGTCTAAAGGCAGAAGTACTTAAGAAACAAGAAGAAGTATTAGAAAAGAAACAATTGCCTCAACATAGAATTGAGAACTATAAACCTCCTAAAGTGGAAAAACAATGCCTTGATAAAAGCAAAGAAAACCAAAAATGTTTTAAGGATAGCTTAAAGGCAGTAGACACAGATGAATTGGAAGCATGTAGAAAATCAAAGTGAGTATTTGTTCTTAGTTGATTTCACAGAATGCAGTATGTCTTTGTTTGCTGTTTGTGTTTGTTTTTCTGCTATTTTGGTCAAACTTTCCAATCTGGACCAACCATATAAGAGGTTATAGGGGCGGGAGGGGGAGGGAGGGCTACCCCCCTGTGCCATCCCCACCCTGCGGAACCCCATGGTTATGGAGATATTCATGGTTAAAGTTTTAAGGTTTAAATAGCACTAGATACGACTTTCATTGACGCCCATCGAGTTGGAGGTTGATATTTTTTTTACAGAAAGGATACATTATTATAAGCACACACGCAAAGTTTCAACATGTGGAAACGCGTACTTTTTGAAAAAAAAATATTGAAAATCAATTATTTTTGCAATATTTATGTCAATTCCTACGGTAAAACTGACACTATTTTGTATTGTCATTGTCATCGTCAGTATGGATGTTGATTCTTTCCGAAAAAGATCAATTTTATAAATCGATTTGAATCGTGAGCTGATGTATTGATTCATAAAAAAATCGATTTCTAAAATTTCAATATTTTTTCATGTTTGCATTTATAATGGAAATATAAATCCATTTTATGAGAAAAAAATCCCCTTCATCAGACAAAAAATAGGGAGCCTGATTAAAAGGGGTTTCTGTATCTATTTTGAGACTGCAATGTCTCCGGCACTGAGGCATTGCTGGAAGAACAGCCTCTACGCCTTTGCGTAACAAATCGTAGGCATCCCTCCTCGTCTGATGCCTACGATTTGTTACAACAGGCGGAGGCTGCTCCCCCTACACGCCTCCGGCTCTTTAAAAACACTCTAGGGGTAGGACAGACTTGTACCAGGTGGAGTCGGGGTCAATCAATTCGATTCTTTGACATAAGTTGAACCTAACCTATTTTATTTGTTATCTGCCCTAATAAAAATGAATAAATTAAAATGAAACAAATTTCAATAAGAGATTATTTACTATGGTATTTTTCTGGTTTTTCATAAAATGGATTTATATACATATATACATTATACATATACATTATAATTGCAAACATGAAAAAATATTGATATTTTAGAAATCAATTTTTTGTGAATCAATACATCAGCTTACAATTCGAATGTCGGAACCCTACACTAATTGAAACGTGAAGTGATTGACGTTTGACATCAATTATTTGTCAAATTTATTTTGTAATTGCATGTTATTTGCAATGAAAAGTAAAAATAAATTATCTCATGAACCCTAAATTTCCGCAACCTAAAACTTTGCAAAACGCTTTATTTTAGTGAGTACTATCTACAAAAAATACATCTACAATACATTTAAATCGATGGTCCATATTGGAAAGTTTATCCACTATTTTAACTACCGACTTCTAAAAGGAGGAGGTATTCAATTCGACTGTATGTTTTTTTTAATGTGTGTTACCTGATAACTTTTTTCGTGGTGAACCGATTTCAATGATTCTTTTATTATTTGAAAGCTGGTGCTTCTCATGTGGCCCTATAGAAATTTGATCAAAGTTTGACCTTAATAGTAGTTATCCTTAGTAATTTATATTGAAGTCAGTTGTACAAAATTGTTAATTTTACCACTTGTTATTGTATTAATAGTGGCTTATTAGAAGCAATTTAATTTGTTAGAAGCTTACTTTTTAAACCATAAAACTCTCACAACAGTGCAGTATGAAGGGAGGAATGCAGTTAGACAAATATTGTATAGAAAACTGTTGTTATAAATGGTAAAAAAATTTAGTGGAATTCGGAAATTTCAAGACACTTGTACAACCGCCCAAGCAGCAAAATGGAGAATATTCTGATTTTTAGTTAGATATTTTGATATCCTGTAAGTACTTTCCAAAAGTTTCAGATAGGGAAGCTTTAAGTGTTTAACACCAATCATGCTGACTTGTGTACTTATTGTGCCAAAAAAATACAAATACAAATGTTATCATATTGGGCGACTGGTTTAGAAACTACTTCCTGATGACCCTGAAAGAAGATTGGAGTTCTGTCAGAATGTACAATAAGATCAATTAACTACTCGTATTAGCAAGGGGTTGTCGATGTATTTGTCATTAATGAAACTATACCGTCCATTTTCGTTCATTGACTAGTCAATCAACTAGTTAAATTTGCCAACTTGTTTATGCATCAACTTGGTTTTGCAGACACTTAAATTTAAACTCCGTGACGTCGTATATGGCGCGACATAGCCGACATACGTAGGCCGTAGACTACTGTAACAGCATGATGTGTTAAGTTCCTAATTATTAAATCGCCCTTCTCTTTTGCACATGGGTTGATAGCATGACGGCATCCTTTTCTTCACCTAACAATAATAAACTGTTATTTATACTCTTACGTTGTCTACATTTAGAGTTCTAATTTGTTTGCACAATTATGTTATTTGAACATAATATGAACTAATATTATCCGACCATGTTCTTGCTTCGATCGTCGCATTGCTAGTCAAAATGAATGTAATGGAGCTTTAGCCATTTACGGTACATCAACGGTCAAATTAACTAGTTGGTTCATTCAACGCCCATTGCTAACTCCTATTAACATTTATTATTGACTATTAGTATATGTTGTTGAAATTTTATTCTTGCAAATTGAGGCTGTAAAGGCTGTGTGAAAATTCTGTTCTATCTTAGTTAACATATTTGCATATTTGTTTGGTGAAACAAGGCTATGACCCAATTTTGTTTTAAAAACATGTTTTGGCCATTTCTTACAAAATATATTTCCTTGTAGTACACCCAGCTTCCCAATTATAACTAGAATATTTTTATTTGAACCTCGAATACCAATTTCTTATGGTCAATGAAAGAATACAGAACAGTTCTATTGTTCCTTTTAAAATTTATTTTATTTTATTTTTCAGATTAGCATTGGAGAAAAAAGCTGAACTTTATGAACATTTATCAGACAGGACAGGTAACTCTCTGTTGGCTGAAAGATTTCTTGTTGATTTTAATGGGAAAAAACAAAATGAGTCCATGAAACCTTTACACAAAAATGAGTGTGAAAATGATGCAGTGACTAACATTGATAATGAAGATGACAATGAATGGTGAATAATATTCACTTATAATAATAATAATACACACTACAACTACATAATATGTTTTCAAATAATAATTTTGTATGATCTAACTTTTTTCACAAATTGAGTTGCCATACATATGCCAAATCTATACATATATATAATAAAACTATTGAGGATGTTTCTGTATATTGAAATTGGAGATGCTGCAGATATGTAGTTACTATTCTGTATCCAGCCTATCCAATCTATATTATTTAATGTCCGACATCCTGCCAACTATCCATCCGGTTACTAGACACGTATAACCTGTCGGAAATATCTGCGAACCTCGCTGGAATGCGCTTCCCCTCGCGCTTCCCCGCACCTCCGCCCGTTATCGTCTATCCAGTACCGTTGCCATCTCTCCATATTGCATGACGTCATCAAGCCAGGTTCGCAGATATTTCCGCCCGTTATCGTCTATCCAGTACCATTGCCATCTCTCCATATTGCATGACGTCATCAAGCCAGGTTCGCAGATATTTCCGACAGGTTATAATTACGTATATCGTCGGCTTAGAGTGTAAATCCCCTAACGCCATATTATGTAAATTTACACGAGATAAAACACATTACTATAAAAGTATGAATTAATTAGGGGGAGGGGCTTTAATATAGTTGATCTATTTTTCTTTATTTATAATGTAAAATAAAATAAAGGTTACTAGATTCACTATTAATTAATTTATTAACAATTTTGTTATTTAGCAGGTTTTTGTAATCGCGAAAAGTTTTTAATAATGGACTTAGAAGGTTTTCATTCAAACAAAAATGTTCTTCTAGTTTATCTATTTCTCGTTTATGCTATTTTATTATGAAGTAATTTATCCATAAACAACAATGGCAGACTTTCATTCATAAAATTAGTTGAGAAGAAATGGTCATAGGATTCTTAAAATGTTAAGCGTCAGTCCCTGAGTAACTATGTCAAAGAATTTTGTCCTGAGAAGGCATCAAAAAAAGATAGATTTGAACCATTTTAGGTTATGTCTTATGTCATGTGGAAAAAGTCATGCATCCTGTGGTTGTTTGATGTTAGCTTAATACATTCTCAACATAATGTACCTACCTATAAAATTGACAGTTTTTAGACAATTGCATCTCTATAATATATTTGCATACTATAAATGTATATTTTTGGAATGGCTTCTGGGCCTTTGTGCCATACAGTGACATGCGTAAGCATCATATTATTCTGTGACAGAGACATTTTGTTTTAGCTAGTGTTGCCATAACATTAAATGGAATTGTTACATAGTATTATGATTGAGATAATGTATTATTGCAGGAAGTTCTTTGTAAGAGACTTATTTTTAACCATATCACTTTTATTTTTATTATTACTGATAGTATAGTTATTACTAATAATAACTTTCAACAAAAAAAATTGTGTTCGTGTGTTGTGTTGCAGTCTTACAAAGTGTGTATGAAAATAGTATGAATATAGTAAACAGCAACACGTGAATAGTGTCAAATAATTAAAGTCATTTGAACTTGGTGTCAGAACTTGGTGTGATTTACAATATTTATATATAAATTATTTTGCCTTGGAGCCTTGCCAGATATTCGGTATCTAGAATCCGGCAAAATCATTATCCGTTTCATCTCTAGAAATTAATTTTGAAATATTGTAGAGGCTAGTAAATGAATAATACAATTAATAATTTACTAAACCATTATGTACAGTAGCACAAAGTAGAATGTTGTACGTATGTTGCCATTTGTTGTAGTTATTAATGCACCCCATTCTTATTCAAATTTGACTATACCAATTATATTTTCGTTTATTTTCTACTGTGGTTGATAGTGTTTTCAGTGCAGATGTTTCGGGAGACAAAATCCAAATCTTGTTTGTTAGGCAATAGGAATTTCATTTCTTCAGAAAATGCCAACCAACCCTTGCTCAAGTATGTAGTTTCCAAATTTTTGGTAAGTCAGATTATTAAATTCTTCATCACAGGGTCCCCGGTGGCCCCGCTATTGCTTGCTACGGTGGCGACCATGGTAACGGCGGGGCAGGGGGTGCTAAGAATCTCTGGTGGATTTTCGGTTGCCACCTACGACGACTCGTCCTGGCAACATATAACGCAAGCAAGCATCCTGAGCACTGACGAAAATATCCTGGAGCTAGAAGAAGGATAGACAAGTTGCGCTGGAATATTATACCAATATCCGAGGTCGAAAGAGAAGGGAGGACACGGTAATCCTCGAATCTGGCAACTTGTTCTATCACCGGGAAGACAACTATCTGTACCAAAGAGGTGTCGGATTTATCGTCCACAAGTCTCTCGTTAACAATGTTTTAAAGATTGGGAGTGTGTTGACGAGGGTTGCGTACCTTATACTCAGAATTACCAAACGGTATTTGCTGAAGTTCATACAGGTTTACACACCAACCTCTTCACATCAGGAGGTGGAGGAATTGTATGAGGATATATCAAGAGCGATGCATTCCTCCAAAACCCACTTTACGGTGTTAATGGGAGACTTTAACGCATAACTAGGTACAAGAGAGAACGGTGAGCTGAAGATAGGGAAATTTGGAATAGGGCAATGGAACCCAAGGGGCCAGCAGCTGACCGACTTCATGGAGAAAGAGGGACCCTTTATGACGAACTCTTTCTTCCAGAGGCGGCACCATAGGAAGTGGAGATGGTCGACGGTGTTCGGTTCGATGAAAAATGAGATTAAATTCATTATGACGACTAGACGACAACTGATCAGTGATGTCTCAGTGATCGCGAGGGTGAAAACTGGAAGTAGTCACCGAATGTTTAGATGCACACCGAACCTAAACGTTAAGTTGAAAAGCTCTCGTCTAATGAAGTCAACGCTCCGTCCCCCTCGTGCTCTGATTCAAAGTCCCGAAACATTTCAGCTCGAGTTACAAAACCGTTTTCAGTGCCTAGAAGACTGCAATGCAGTGTACGATACGAATGACAAACTCGTGGAAACTGTCCATGTGGTCGGAGCTAAGTTTTGGAAGACCCGCCGCAGAAGAACACAAAAACTCTCCGATCACACTCTTAATCTCATCGCTGTTAGACGGGAAATGAAGCTGTCGTCTTCAGCAGATTTGACAGCATACAGGTAACTGAACAGACAGATCTCCAAATGCATGCAGCGGGACTTACCCAACTTCAATACAGTTCGTATTGAAGAAGCGATCGAGCGGAGCCCTGGGCCTAAAGTCTGCCAGAGAGCGGTCTGCCAGAAAGGGCCAACGGTCGGAGCTGAATACCGAGTGTGGCAGCATTGTTTCCGGGACACCGGGGATTTTGAATGAGATTGAGAGGTTCTATGGGCAGCTGTACACATCTTAGTTGGAGCCATATGCAGGTGTTAGTAACGATCCAAGAGCAAGTCTTATCCGATACTATTCCGATGATATTCCGGACGTCAGTCTGAGCAAGATTAGAATAGAAATTCACCTTCAAGTCCCCGGGCGAGGATGGAATTACAGCTGAGCTTCTAAAAGCGGGTGGGAAACCGGTACTTGATGTCCTTCAGAAGCTCTTTAATTCCGTCTTCCATGGTGGCACTACTCCTGAGGTGTGGGGCAGAAGTGCGGTGGTCTTGTTCTTCAAGAAAGGCGACAACTCTCTCTTGAAGAACTTCAGACGGATTTCCCCTCTGAGCCGCGTCTACGTGCTGTTTTCGAGAGTCATTACGAGTAGTCTCGCACGTAGACCGACGACTTCCAGCCTCCCGAAAAAGCCGGTTTCCGAAAAGGCTTTAGTACCACAGACCACATATATCCTTCGGCAAATTGTAGAGAAGACCGAGGAGTACAATTTGTCACTATGCTTGCGTATGTGGACTATGAGAAAGCCTTTTATTCCGTCAAAATTTGGGCGGTGCTGCAGTCCGTTCAGCGGTGCCAAGTTGCCTGTGGGTATATCAAAGTGCTGAAGTGTTTGTACAGTAGAGCTACGATGGCTACCCGAGTAAAGAAACAGAGTACGAAACCTATCCAACTGCAGAGAGGTGTAAGACAGGGTGACGTTATATCCCCAAAACTCTACATTGCTGCATTGGAAGACGTTTTCAAGCTACTGGATTGGCAAAGGTATGGGTATTAACATCAATATCGAGAACATCACTCACCTTCGATTTGCCGACGATACAGTCCTCATGGCAGAATCGCTGGAGGACCTTAGCACTATAAATAAAGCTAAATAGTGCCTTCCAACGGATAGGTCTTAAGATGAACATGAACGAAACAAAGATCATGTACAACGTCCATGTCACACCTATGTCGCTAGTTGTTGGGAGCACCAAGCTCGAAGTTGTTGACGACTATGTTTATCTGGGACAAATAGTTCAACTAGGTAAGTCCAACTTCGACCGAGAGGTCAATCGACGGATTCAACGCGGCTGAGCAGTGTTCGGGAAGTTACGACACATCTTCTCGTCAGGTATACTCAAAACTTGAAAACGGGACTGTACAACCAGTGCGTGTTGCCAGTGATGACTTATGGAACTGAGACGTGGTCCTTCACTGCTGGCCGTATGCGGAAGCTCAAGGTCGCTCAGCGAGCTATGGAGAAGGCTAGGCTCGGGGTTTCTCTGTGTGATAAACTTAGAAATGAGGATATCCGCAGTAGAACCAGAGTGACCGAGTAGCCCAACGGATTAGTAAGCTGAAGTGACAATGGACTGGCCATTTAGCTCGAAGAACCGACAACCGATGGGAAAAAGGTTCTTGACTGGCAGCCTCGTACCGGTAATTGAAGTGTAGGGTGACTCTCACCAGATGGAATGACGACCTGGTAAGACATGGAGGAAGTCGATGGATGCAGGTGGCTCAGAACCGTGCTTTGTGGCATTCCTTGGGGGAGGCCTATGTTCAGCAGTGAGCTTGTGAAGGGCTATAATGATGATGATGATTTGTAGCTGGAATCATACATCAATGTTATAGTCCATTTTTTAGGGTTCCGTAACCAAAGGGTAACCAACGGGACCCTATTACTAAGCCTCCGCTGTCCGTCCGTCCGTCCGTTTGTCTGTCAGCGGGCTGTATCTTATGATCCGTAATAGGTAGACAGGTGAAGTTTTTACAGAATGTGTATTTCTGTTGCCGCTAACAAATAATAAAAACAAACATAAATTTAAAATTAAAGCAACGTGTTTTAAGATAGTACCGAACCTTTTATGTGCGAGTCCGACTCGCACTTGGTCGTCTTTTTTAATTTAATAGAAGTAAGGGTGACAAACAAGCACATAGTCCATCTGAAATAGTAAGTGAATGCTGTGGACATCTATCGACATTTATCCATACAAAAATCAACCTTTATGTGAAGCACCTGGCTATTTGATGGATAAGACTTTGTGGGATGACTGAAGGCAGAAAATACATCCAAAAACACCCAAATTTTGCAAACTGGTGATGGGTAACAGCAATACCAGTGTACTGGTGTTGCGTCTGCACTAACCAGCCTCTTCCTTCGTCTTCCGTCCCAGCATAGGGAGTATAAGCAATTCTTCGTAAATAAAATAAGAAATGCATACTAGATGCCGCTTTCTTAGGCAGACTATGCCCAGCTGTGAACTTAGAAGACTGTTGGATGTGTACGTGTGTAGTATTTAACATTGTAGCTAGTGATCACAGCTCACTTAAACAAGATTTAAGCTAACATAAATGCGCTGCACAGGGGATTGTTCATGACATGGAATAGAATACCTAGCTATATGTTTTTGTTATGTTACAGGATTGAATTTACCGACTGTTTGGGGCGAACACGCAAATGTCTTAAATCTGACTTAGAGTTGTACAAAAAGAGAGACAAAGAACTACTGAGGGTAATAACAAAAGGTGAAGAAGATGAAGCTACTGAGGTACAGTACAATTTATTAAACCTTTTTAAGGAAGAGATTTTATCATTACATTGCAAGATTTTCTCTTGCCCGTAAACAAAAAAAAAAAACAATTCAGCATTATTTACTTTGTCATATTTTAATAATTGTCGTTTTAATTTGAAAATTAATGAAGTGTCATCAGCAAATAATGCTATATTATGGTTATCCCCTACTATGTAAGGTAAGTCATTAATATTATATATAAGGAACAGAAAGGGCCTGAGAATTGAGCCTTGAAGCACACCCATTTGTACTATGGGCCCGGAAGAGCTCATACTATTAATGACAACTTTTTGCTTTCTCGTACTTAAATATGAAACAATTAGTTTAAGTGCATTACTTCCTACACCGTAGTGTTGTAGTTTCCTGATTAATGTTTCATGGTGAACACAATCGAAGGCTTTGGATAGGTCACAGAATATACCCAAAGCATCCTGTGAATTCTCTAAATTATTCTCTAAATTATTTACATTAACAAAATTAACATTTGATCACACGTTGGCAGTACAGAAATAGGTCTAAAATTGGCGGGGTATTATTGTACTACCAGATTTAAATAAAGGTATTACTTTGATATGCTTCATTAAATCTGGAAACACACCATATTCGATACTAGTATTAAAAATAATAGCTAGTTGAGGCGCGATTATATCTATTATAGACGCAGTAACTTTAACGGAAATCCCCAGATCTGCAGTTTTCTTAATATCAATAGCTTTAAAATATTTTACAATATATTTTGATGATATTTTACGAAATGTAAAATTCTTTGTACACGCATTTACATTTTGTTTAAGTAATGATTCGGCGACAGTAGTTCACAATCGGACCCGGTAGGTGACGTTTTTGTTAAGAGCCAAAAATCAGTTTATAAATATTTAAGAATTTATTAACAAATTACGAATTTACGACGTTATAACATTAAAATTTGTAGTGTCATAAAACAGTAAATGAGATTTTTAATATTTAAAAATATTCAAATAAGATAATTATACAATTATTTATAATTATATCAATAATAAACTTGCAATATTTATATTTTTGACAACTCTTAAATAGTATTTTAAATGACTACAATGTCTATTAGTTAGTGAAATTGTGAAAGATAGATCAAATCTTGTAATGTACTCGTATATCCATTCAAACAACAAATAACATTGCAAATCAAATTATTCCTTTGTTTTTAATTTAAGGTTTTAGTTATAGTAAATCTATATTAAGATAAATATAAATACGGCTACGTGGCGCAGTGGCTTAGCAGTGAGTTGCAGCGCTAAGGGCTGCGGGTTCGAATAACGCAAATATTTTTTCCTGGTCTGGATGTTTGCCCTTGTGGAATTTACATCTGTAAACGTGCCTCACCATACAGGATAGAATCCTAGTGTGGAGCTAATGTTTTTTTTTAAGAATAATGAATTAAGAATAAAAATAAATAATAGTTAGTATGTACTTCAATGTTTCAGGTACCCGATAAGCCAGAAAAACCATTTTTGGTTCAAAAAACTAATGATTACCTGCAATCTTTACGAGAGAAATGGGAACAGAAAGAAAAAGAACTACTTGCAAAAGATAAAGATGTACACTATCAAGATTTATTATTTGATGGTTTGTGTTTTCCAGTTACGATTTTCTTAATATGTATAAAATATTCATGTGCAAATAAGACCACATTCTTAGATTACGTTTATAAAAGATTTTTTCTTCAATAAAACATAGTTCCTCCTTGGTGGTAGAACTATTATAAATTACTGCTTGACTACTACCCCATCTGATTTAGTGGTGATGCAGCCGATGGCAAAGTAAATTCTATATTTTCTGATTACAAACCCGTTTGGGTTGGTACCAACTAATACATGATATACATACATACATAATATATAGTGTCACGCCTGTAATCCCCGATGTGATAGGCTGCACATGTAGCAGTCACCTACCATCAGATGGAATGTTAGCTCATTTATCGTTCCGATAGAAAAAAAATCTGCTGTCATTGGTTATTGTATTGTGCTAGTATTTTTAAGAGAACATGTTACTCAATTTCGTTCTTTTGTTAGTCGACTGAAAAGGAAAAGTTAAACCGAGCATAGGTTACATATAGGCAAGCAAGGCCGTCACATCCGTGCTATAGACATTAAAGGCCAACCATAAACAAGGCAGTTGTTTGCTCCGCACTGCATGACTGCAAATATTGTTATAGTGCACGCAAGATAACTCTGCGCGCGACTGATGGCGTACTTAATGTTACCAGCTTAACTAATATTGTTTTCCTTCATTTAATCTTGTTACTAAAATTATATAATTATATCAAATTATGTAAATGACCGAATTGATTACCAAAGATCAGTTAAAAAAAAATGTAATGTTCAGTTTAAACTTACAAAGACCTAATAAATATTAAACCCTATATTTATTGTTTAAGATTCGCATAATAAATATATTTCTTGATTGTAACTTCCGTAAGTTTGACACTACACTTCACAAGTTTCTATGATAAGATTTAAGTTAATATAAAGTATTCCTTAAAAAACATTTGAAAACGTTTAATTAATGCGAGCGAGTTTGAGAAAAAAAACTAAAAAACAACCCTCACTTTTATTTTTGGTATTCTTCTCAGCAAACCCTTTTATTTGATACCCATAGCATAAGAATGCACAAAAAATAACTAGTCCTCCATCTTTAGGAGTCCGCCATATTGGATTTAGAATGAGATCACTTATTTTCATCTAAACTTAACGTATATGCAAGAATTCCGCTCCATCGAAAACCTAAAAGTTGTTCAAATTTAAATTTCAATTTTTTTTAAATAATTATAGGTGAAGATATTATATGCGTGTTAGAAATGATTATTATTATTATTATGATTAATGAACACTGATATTTTGTCTCTAATGAATTTTTCAAAAAAGGTATTTAAAAATATTTATTATAAAGAACGAAATTAAACGTCCATGGAAACCTTGTAAATCTTTTATTGAACACCCAGATCTATTTGTAAATTTCGTGTAACATAGGTCCTGCAGTGGGTCAACGCCTTCCATTCGCACATCTTCATCAGAATCCATGCTAGAGTCTTCATCAGAAGACTCGGATGTGTCGCCTATGACATTAATTATAAATTTATCCATTTCCATATAAATCAGCTTATCTGAGTCGAAATATTTATCTCCTATTTTTTGTACATGTAGACATACATTGAGCTATTCTTCTACTACTACTAAAATCGAACAAATCGAGAAAATTAGGGAGTTTTATTTATTATGGCAGCCCTAAAAATTACCTGTGAAATATGAAACGTGGGCTCTAACTTTGGAAAACGGTTCTGTAGGCCCGTTATTGTCTCGTTATTCTTCACAAGCACCTTTGACCTTCAAGATAATATCCCTGCCAGCAATTTTAATCACTTTCGGCATAATGATCACGATTATTTACTGCAAAAACGAATAAAAACACGACCCTAACATTGTTTTGACACCTGCCATAAATAGTAAGATGGCGGCGCACGATTAGTTCCAATTTTGGCCGCGCGCAGAGTTATCTTGCGCGCACTTTAGCTAGTTCCTGCTATTTATTTGAACTCCCAAAAGCTTGATAGGCCGTTCTTTTAAAATTTTGGTTGGACACAACAAATATTAAAACCAGATTTACCTGTTGCAACCTGGGTATAGGCATGGGCTGCACAATAATATAATAGCGTCAGATTTTGATACAATGGAAGCCCACACTAATGAGATCCATTCATTTACAAAAAAGTTGACGTGTGACGTGACGTGAAAGTGACGGCCGAAGCTGAACACAGGCTTCCTCTGGTATTTTAAAACGTTTTGACAACAGAGATCGTGGTAAATAGCATTTAAAATTGCAATTAAATAAGCATTTATTGGTGCCGGCGGGTACCGAACTAGGGCTGCTCGCGTATTCTGAAATGTACGGCGAGCCCTAAGTTTCCCCGACTCTCACTCTATCTCTCCATCTCTCTGCCATTCAAGCTAAATAAAAAAAACCTGTTGTTTTGAACTAATAAGGGACGAGCTATTTTTTCTACACTATTTTATTTTCAAAATGCAATTTTTCTATATAATACTGTTTTACTTCTTACAAATAACATGAGAATGCCAAAATAGATACATATTTTATATATACACGGTGATTTTGCAATAACCGGCCAAATTTTCAGAGAAGGTTCCACAGAATAAGTAATTTAAGCAAATGGTGAAGAAAAACTAATTTTTGTCCTTTTTATCTTTTAAATTCAAAATGCGTGGCAATGCATTATTTTAACTGATTTTACTGCGCACGCACATATTCGTAAAGGTCGATTGGTAGGCAAAAACGTTGTTGCCCTTAAATCACATTCTATTTGGGATAATTTCCAATAAAAGTAGAAGCCTTTTTTACTCGTAATAACAGTGTATCATTATTTATATATTTGAACTTAAGTTTAAAATTTGGTTAATCTTTGAAAAATAATCCTGTATATATATATATTTAATTTTAGTATATCTTTTTAATTAGAAAGATGTATTGTTCGCGTAGAAATTACTGTCAACTAGTTGTTTACCCCTTATTATTTTCAAATCATTTTAGAGGCAAGAATGCACGGCGTGGGTTATTACTCTTTCAGTACTGATGAGACTGAGCGTCAAAAGCAAATGGATGAGTTAATGAAACAAAGACAGGAGACTTTGCGAGCTCAAAAGGAAGCAGAAGAACGTAAGAAGAAGCGAGACGAGTTATTGGCGGCAAGGGTTGCAGCTGCTAGGGCACGTCAACGTGCCAGGGCTGGTTTGCCTCCAGAAGAACCACAGAGTAAGTAAATCACTACTTGCATATAAGTACTAAATAGTTTTCTCTCTTTTTCCTTGTTTGGAAGTAGGCAAGGAAGAAGAGCGCTATATATGTCAGAATCAGAATAACAAATCCCTTCACTTTATACAATACAAGTGCCATTTAATGTCGTTGAAAATTAATGCGAACAAATCGAAATAAAAACCAGTCTCCAACTCAATGTCATACCTTGTATGATTTAATTTAACCAAAAGCAAACGTATTTTTTAACGCTTAAAGTAATACATTTATTTTGGCTTAGCCACTGAGCTACCTCGCATACAAATCGTTATTACAATTATATTATTACATGCTTTAATTCGATTTTTGTGTAATTGGATAATTGACACCATTATTAATATTATGAAACTAGGTTGGTTTCTGTTTAAGTTAAATTAGATTTTATGATTTCAACGATACAAGTGAGATTCTAATACGACTGCAAGAAATTGTAACGTTATTTGCGTCTATTCTCATTCAATTTCTTTAGAAAAAGTTTATTTAAAGTATATCGCAAAAGATGTCTCCTACCTTATTCTATGTCAATACTTATCGTAGAGTTGAAGTAAAACATCATGGAATCGTCAGAAAGTGTTTGTTTTTGACATGAAAATTTAAAACTGCTTTAGTTATTGTCCTGCGCCGAAAACATATTGACATGTATTATTCACGATGCCATTTTTTTTTTCAGAAAATGAAAAAGACTTTACTACATGCTTGTTAGAGTTTTTAACTCAACAGAAAAATGAAGCAGATAATAAAGCAAAAGAGGAAGAAAAGAGAATTCGAGAGGAGCAAGAGAAGGAAAGACAAAAGTTGCGCGAAGCTTATGTTCGCGAATGGGACCTTGGTAAAGAGGGTATGGAAGAGAAAGTAAAAAAATTCAGAGAACTTACGCAAGAAGAATACGTGGAACAGCAAAGGTCTAAAAGAATAGATGAATTCGCTCCTCCTCAGCAATGCTCTAGAAAAAACGCTAGCAGTGTTTTCGATGAAAAAGGAAAAATGGTTTCGTCTGATAGAAATACAACTATATCAAAAACCTGGGCAGATGTAAGACCAAAAACACCTCCTCCGCCAGTTATTGAATCTGTAGAAGAATCACCTAAAGGTCTATTCTTCACAACCAAGAAAGTTGATGTAAAATATAAGAATTTTGTTAAAGCACCTGAGCCAAATCCAATAGTCAATGAAGTAAGTGATGATGAGAACTCAAATGGAGAAGGGAGACAAAAACCAAACAAAAGAAAATCCGATGTAGTATCAAAAGAAATTCCGCCACCACCTACATATGACTACTATGGACCTGTTACCAAACAATCAAAGGTAAAAAAGCCATTTAGTTCAGATTTAAGAGAGGCTTTCACACAAGGTGCGAAAAGTTTAGAGCCCAAAGTTAGTAATCGACAATTATCAAAGAATTACGACTTTACATTCGATTAATTATAAGGGGACGTTATAAAGGGACAAAAATATTAAAACAAATGTAAAATTATGTGGTAAAAAAATAAATAAACGTATACCACAAAATTTATTTATTTCTTTTTTAAATATATTTACATTTTACTACTCTAATATCACAAAATTTATAACACAAACAACTTATGGTCCAATTAAGATAGAGATCAGATTCAATAAACTTTGTTGTGCTTAGTAAAAATCTGTGAATATATTATTATCTCGTTAATTGTCTTACATGAATACATGTTGCAGTAGAAGGAAATAAGTGTGAAATTTTACGCGTAAATTATATTTTCAATACATAGGTAAAATGGTCAAGATTAAAATTAAAAGCGTAAAAATATTTGCTGATAATTGTCCAGCATAATTGTCGCTGGCTTTGGTAGGCTGCGCTGTAGTACTTTCTTCGATCATGAGTGTACTTAGGTCAGTAGAATCAGTTTTTAAGGATTCTGTAGTTCCTAAACTTTTCACAGAGGGACTTACTTTTTGCTGTAGTGCTTCTGCTGTTGGTAACTGCTCACTTGGTTTTACGTTAAAAGTGGGCGTTAAAGATTCCTTAACTAATTCAGTTTTTGTCTCCATTGTAGGGATTGATGCAATAGTTTCAACATTGTTACTAGATAGGTTTCCTTTATTAGACTCTACAGTTGCGACAAGTTCATTTATATTATTTTCTTTGCTGTTTTTTGAAGTAGTGATGTCATTTGTTGAATTATCAAAAATCTCATGATCATCAAGATTTTGACCGATAGTCATATTATCTGTATTATTTTCTTTAAGTGTATCGTCTCGTGCAACTCCTGTAACAACAATCATTTGTTCGTTATGATCAAAATCATTGATCTGACCATTGTTATCAGTTTCATTTACTTCCATGTCTGTTTCATTAGTTATTATAATGGTGGGTTCTCGAGTTGATGAAGTAAAATTTGAAGAAGCGGACCTTTTTTTGATACGAATATTTTGAGTTTTTGCAACAAGTTTTGATAGAACAGCAAATGCTTCGCTCTCACGTTCCGTGTTGTTGCCATTACATAGATCACCGCGACAAGGGCATGTCATTTTCCATGTTTTTGTCGAATTGCAGAAAAGAGGGTAGCATTCATCTTGGTATAGTTTCACGCAGAATCTCGACTCAATGTGTGCTGAAATTATAATTATTTATGGATAAATAATGCTTACACTAATCAATAAACGCATTATATATATTTATTTATAAATTATAATAAAAATATAATCTTTATTTGCAAGAATATGATTGTACAATGGCGTTTAAGTGTAATTATAATATTAGTTAATGTTTTTATAATATTAGTGTAGATATTATGTTATCCTTACCATTACAGTCTATCAAAAGTCCATCGCTAAACACAGGCCTCCCCCATAGATAGCTTCACAGGGGAGGGTGGGGTTTAGTTGCCATGCTTGGCAAATACTTTACGTGGTAGAGCCATGCTGCAGCTATATTAGTAGTATAGTTATAGCACGAATGGGTTGCTCGACCGGGGAAGGACCACGCTCTCATAGAATACCAGCGTAAAATAGCAGCTTAATGCTGCTGTGTTTCGTATGGTGAGTGTAGAGAACCGGAGACCCTTTTTACTGGAAACGAGGCATTCCATCTTAGTCCTCACGGATGGCAACTCATCTGCATTTTGATTCGCAAACGAAGATAAATGTAGATGTCTATGGGCCACAGCAGCCACTTACCATCAGGTAGACTACGCGCTCGTTTGTCACGCTATACTATAAAAAAAAGGTAATTTACATGATGAGCAGTTCAAGGGATTACCTCCTATAAACAAACTATACTTACAAACAACTTTATTTTTTTTAAATAGTGTAGATATTATATTACCCTTACCGTTACATTCTATCAAAAGTCCATCGCTGAACACAGGTCTCCCCCATAAATAGCTTCACAGGGGAGGGTGGGGGGTTAGATGCCATAGTTGTAATCGTAGTTTTTTTTAATTATAATTAGGAAGACGTTGCTGCCCATCTGGTTTGATTCCCTCTGTCGCCTGTGTTTACCTCTGTCGCCTCCTACACCCACTGGAAGATATGGGGTAGTGGATATTGTTATACCCACTACACGGTCAATATAACCGCTACTACCCACTACACGATATAAGATATTATGAAGTAGCTTCACCAAAAGCTTAAATATGCAAATGTGATTTTTAAACGGTTACTAACGAGGAGATGTCGCAACCACAGCGCAGTGTTTAAATCCAGGTTCGCAAGTTGTGACGTGTTTTGTGGGAGTATCGCAAGATGGAGCTCGGCGGCTTCGATGCACTTGTTCCGCTAGCGGGCCGCACCAGTAGCATTGGTGTTCTGCTGTCACTGTTCCTAGACATAAAGGAAATTACTTTTTAATTTAATATGTTGATTGAATAGTATATAATATCCTAACCGAATTTCAGTCATGGCGCAAGGTCTCAACAGAGAATAGCTATTTGCGCAGGACAGGCTTATAGTGCAGGACAGGCTTATAGTTAAGTGTGTGCTCAAGGACATGCGCACTTTTTTATTCGCTCACTCTATCTTATAGTTTGATGAGATGGCATCCAACACGACCTTACGAGAGCTTTACGTGCTTTCCAAGGCACGTGGGTGAAATACCGCCAACTTCCTGACCCCGGGCTGATAGAGAATTTCTTGGCAGAAAAACCCGATAGCTAATTTTGGCCCGAATCCTGTGTCACATGATCAGCAGTCGCGCTTACGACCTTTTTTTTATAGAAGGGTGACAACCGAGCACACAGTCCACCTGATGGTAAGTGGTTGCTGTGACCTTTCTTTTTTTCTTTTTTCTTATTTAAAAAACGTTACCCCCACACTAGGATTTTCTCCTGTATCGTGGAGGCAGTTTACAAACACAAATTTCACAAGGACAAACATCCAGACCCGGAACAATCATTTGTAGGCCATACAAATACTTGTTCCGTGCGGGATTCGAACCCGCGCCCCCCAGCGCAGCAACTCATTGCTAAGCCACTGCGCCACGGAGCCGTATTGTCATCTAAATCTATCCTCAATAAAGTATCAAATTGCAGATGCGTTGTCACCCGTGACGACTAAGATGGAATGCCTCTTTTCTAGTAAAAAGGGTCTCCGGTTCACTACACTCACCATACGAAACAACAGTGTTAAGCTGCTATTTTGCGTTGCTATCCTAGACCAACAAGGCATTCGGGAAGATGATTACGTTTCATTTTAGTTAGTTACGGCAGGCCTCTGTCTACATCTTGTTACCTGCGTGAAATAATTACCTACAATCGCGAGCTGCCCCAGGGGTAGATCGCAGTCGGGGCTAGCGCGCTCTATACGATTTAATGTTAACGTTTTTTTAACGCTTTTTACGTAAATAATAATTTGTAAATTCTTGTGATACTCGTCGAAATAGTTTTTGTTTAGTGTTTAGTATATTTGTGGGATAAAATAGCTGAAAAAGTTTTAATGTAATTTAAGAATAATATATATGAATATTACCTATCTATTTGATAAATTATAATGGCAAAACGTCGTTACTAACTACTATAATTGTTGCGGCGATGGAGGCTTAATGAGCAATTAAAAGGATTCAGATATATCATTTTTTGAGTTACCGTAGTATAATGAAAGGTTAATTTATTTAATTTTTTTGTTAGATAGGTACTTATAGCGAAAAAATAATTAAGTAATAATTTAACTACAGAAGTAATACCTAAGTACTTTATTACGAAACTTAGTTGAAATTTACTTCACTACCCAAGTACTTACTTACATACCTATACTTGTGTTTTTTTATAGCATAAGGGTGACAAACGAGCACACAGTCCACCTGATGGTTAGTGGTTGCTGTGGCCCATAGACATCTACATCTTTCTTCGTTTGTGAATTAAAATGCAGATGCGTTGTCGGCCGTGAGGAACAAGATAGAATGTCTCTTTTCCAGTAAAACGGGTCTCCGGTTCTCTACACTCACCATACGAAACACAGCAGTGTTAAGCTGCCATTTTACGCTGGTATTCTGTGAGAGCGTGGTCTTTCTCCGGTCGAGCCGACCCATTCGTGCTACAACAATACTATTAATATAGCTGCAGCATGGCTCGACCACGAATGTCTTTTGTAATTAAAATATCTTAAGTTATAATAGCACAAAATACTGAAATTAAATCTTTGTTTACAAGATTTTCAACTAAGTAGATTATGATCATATTTCTGTTAGGAATCGTATTTCTGGTTTATTTGTTGTTTACGCTATCTACCTATACGAACCAAGCATCGCGATTCCAGACGAATGACCTTGCAAGTTGCATGTGCGTTGGGCATCACAGAACTCTCATAGATAATATGGTCGATTATAGTCAGCATAGGTACTTTACCTAAGTAACTTACGATTTCACAATGTATTTTTTTACTCTTTATTAACAGCCCTTAGCAACCACGGAAAATCCGTTGTGACGTAGTAAGGAGAAAAGATGCAAAGTAATACGGATACTCGCGCGCAGCGATAAAGTTTTATTTAGCTTGCGTGCGCGATTTATCTGATTAATAATAATTATGTAGGCTATTAAAACGTCGGCTAGCAGTCAACATCAAAAAAGTGCAACTTCTGTACGTAGTACTATTATTTATTCTGTGGTTACGGTTATAGTTTAGTACAGCTTATAGGAGTCAATCTTCAAATATCATTGTAAAAGCTCCCTAAAAAAATGTCGGAGATATAACTACCAAGTAAACATTGTAATCTTCGACCTTAGAGCACATAGTCTTTCACAAAATAAAAGCAATTCTTTCTAATAGCAGGAAAATTATTTGCAGACCATAGTATCCGGATAGACTTTATTTAGGATAATACAAGTGAATAAGTTGCTGATTCTACCAAGTGTGGTGTTTTTGACATGTGGCTTTGTATTTTGTATTGGGTATGATTAGGGAAAATAAAACGAAATAAAAGGAGTGATCGAAGCTAACGTGCGTTTGAGCGCGCTTCACTCGCGTATAATCATACCGAAACATTACGCGATTTGCGTGCATTACTACTCTCACAGAGGTGTTATTGCCCTTTATGCTTACAAGCAAAACTATCGGCATCAGAGCTGTTACTAATATGATGTAAGGCTATTAAATTTATTATTAATTTTATATTAAATAAAGCTATTAAAGTTAGAGACATATTTTTTTAAATTAAGGGATGTTTAGGTATTTGACAGCATGTTAGTTAAGCTATGGTCTGATGGCGCTATGGGCTGCATGTTTGAATCCCGCAAGGGACTGGGACTGACCGGACTGGGTACTTTTCCATGTGAACTAATCAACATTAAATGTATGGGCAAAGAAATCTAATACTAAATTGTTATTTTACATATACTTGGAAAGGTTTATATACTTACTACCTAGATTGTAAATAAGGAGGAAGATATGAGATAAAATACATATAAGGCGAGAAGATGTGTCGTAATTTTCCGAACGCTGTCCAGCCGAGTCGAATCCGTCGATTGACCTGTCGGTCGAAGTTGGATTTACCTAGTCGGACTATTTGTCCCAGGTAAACATACTCGTCAAGAACTTCGAGCTTAGTGCTCCCAACAACTACCGGCATAGGTGTGACATGGACTTTACACATGATCTTTGTTTTTTCCATGTTCATCTTAAAACCTATCCGTTGGGAAGCACTATTGAGGACATCGAACATAGAGCTTAGGTCCTCCAGCGATTCTGCCATAAGGACTATATCGTTGGCAAATCGAAGGTGAGTGATATACTCGCCATTGATGTTAATACCGTATCCTTTCTAGTCTAGTAGCTTGAAAATGTCTTACAATGCAGCGGTGAAGAGTTACGAGGATATAACGTGACCCTGTCTTGCACCTCTCTGCAGTTAGATGGGTTTCGTACTCTGGTTCTGTACTCGGATAGCTCTTCCGAGTACAGAACCATCGCATCGTAGCCCTACTGCACAAACAATTCAGCACAATTCAGCACAACACTACATTATAGTGAAGATAAATGTTAGTCGATTTGTCTGGTGAAAACGCATTAATGGCTCACGGCTTTTATGCGTCTTTACCAGTGCGTAAGTAGATGATTCTTGCACATGAGCCTCTTCTTTCTTTCCTTATTTATATAAGGCCCGCCACATACATACGGAATTCCGTTTCAGGATTCTGAACGCAGCAAGTCCATATAAATTTAAGGACCCGTCACTCACGTACGTAATTTTTTGTCGTCGCTTGATCTAGCCTATACGAGGTGGTTATTACATAATCTTCTATGGAATATTCTGTGTATTTCCCGTAATCAACTCCCACGATAGCCAAGGAGTAAAACGGGGATAAATTGATTGTTTGAAAAAAAATATTATAAAAGTAACGTGACAAATAAGTTCAAAGTTCATGTAATGGCGTTCGAAACGCACGGATTTAAAAAAGAAGGGGATGCGTTGACCGTAGCATATGGATACCTTATACCTACCAGTGTAATGGTCAAAATTTAGATACGTTTCCAGCTTTACCAGTAAAAAGGCTCTTGGTTCTTGTCACTAATCATACGAAACACCAGTGCGTGATCCTTTTCCAGTTGACCGACCCGTTGATGCTGCAGCTTTAATATAAACTACCACGTAAAATGTTTTGCCAAAAGAAATGCATAACTTGACAAAAATGCCTACACTTGCACCTGGCGTAGCATGTTTAACAGCCGTCCGGGGACGCTAGAGCCAAAATTACTTCTGCCTCTTATTTTCGAAAATGTTCAAAGTATCTTAAAAATATAGAATCGCTAAGTTCTCTATAACCTTTGTAAATTACTTGAAAATGAAAATAAACTTTTAGTGTTCGTAATATTTGAATCAAAAAAGTTTTTAGATTTTTTGAGATAAGGCGGGACTTATCTTTTTAAATGATGCCAGCTGACTACCATGCCCCTAAAACCTGCCGTCCGGGATCAGTAAAGAATACGTGTGTAGTTTAGATTGCAATTCTCTTTATTTTTAATTGCATTTGATTTATTAATGAAAAAACAGATTTAATGATAATACTTAATATATCATAGTTATAACAAAAAAATTGCTAAGCAGCGAAGAATTTATCAAGATGATACTAAGAAGTCGAGAAGTATAAGAGATGTCTAGACTTAGTTATTAAACTTTTCTAAGGTCAATAGACTCACTGTTCAATGAATCTTTACACTGAATTCTTACAAAATTAAAGTTTCGCTATAACTGTATGATAACGAGATAAAGTGACGTCAGAGGGATACTTTTTATATCAGATAATAATGAGTAGATTTCATTGTTTGCGAATATACTCTTATGATGCGGGAAAGTATTATGTACCTAGTAGTATTTTTGGTATTATTTTTTT